TTACAGGTTATCACTACCTCCAGAACTATCTAGAGTCCATAATATATACTATGTGTCAATGCTACGCAAGTACAACTTAGACCCCTCAAATATCTTATCTTACGAGCCACTTCCACTTCAGGAAGAGTTATCTTACGAGGAGGTACCAGTTGGTATTTTGGACCGGAAGAGTAGAATGCTTCGCAACAGAGAGATTCCCTTCATCAAGGTGTTATGACAAAATTATTTATAGAATGAGGCCACTTGGGAGTTGGAATCAGATTTCAGGACCCAGTATCCTCAACTATTTGACTAGTGAGATGGCAGCAATTTGAGGGACTAAATTTCTTTAAAGGGGAGAGAGTTGCAATACTCCGGCTTGAAATTTAGGCTCGGGATGACTAAATTATATTAATAATAGATTTAAATTTTTTTTAATTTTAATTTTTTTTAGGAATTTTTTAAGAAATATACATTTTGGATGTATTTGAAAATAATTTTCAGAAAAAAGGGCCAAATTAAAAATAAGAAAATACTTATTTGAAATAAAAATTTGAAAATTGGGACAAAAGTGCAAAAACAAGAAAAGTGACCATGTGGGACAACCACGTCAATAGCACAACTAGTCGCCATGTCCTGGGTGGCAGACATGTAGATACGTATTCCACACAGGAGGCTACGCATGCAATCCGCATGCCAACCAATCCAACGGTCTGGATTCACTCTCGCGCCCACGGATGATCCAGATATGTTTCTCATTCAAGTGTGATCGAATGGTCCACGTACCTTCAATCAGATGGCTTTGATTCGTTTCCTAAATAATATAAATCTAACGGTGGAGATTGAGCCACACAACCTCGAACGGATGACCCAGATCGAAAATGGAGGTATTTAAACCTTTCTACCCAGACCCCCAAAACCCTAGCCACCAAGGAGAACCAAAGAAGAAGAAGAGGGGCAGTCGAAAAGTGAACTAGTCGTTAGAGAAAAAGACTAGCCACCGTACCGAAATCCATCGTCGACGTTAAAAGGTAAGTTTTTTCTTCTCGTTTGATTCATTTTTTGATTTTAAGCCACCCCAAACCCTTTTCAGCGCTAAAAATAAGAGGAGAAGCCAGAAACGGAGGACAGAGCTCGGTTGAGCCGCCACACCCAAAACAAAAACTCCTCTGGTGAGCCTGAATCCTCTTCTCGTTCTCTTCTATTTTTCGACAATTGGTTTCCTAATGTATTTTTTGGTGCAGTGCAATCAGAGGAAAATCGCGACCGGGAGGGAGGAGCGATGGAGCCGCAGCATTAGAAACCCCAAATCGCCAGTAAGTTTTGGTTCTTCCTATTTTTTTTCTAACAGATGCCACATAACCCCGAATTTTATAGGATTTTGCACAGAACTGACCAAAATTGGCTTGACTGAGAGGAAAAATCACTGTAGGCGGTGGAGCTGGCGCCGTAGAACGACAACACCACCGTGCTGGAACCCTAAACTGGCCATCAGGAGAATTTTAACCTCTTTTAGCCGTTTTTCATGTATTTCCATGATATTTGACGCATGCTTTAGATTTTGTAAAAAAATTGAAGAAATTCGAGAACCAGGAACCGTCAGGAAGTGTAATGAAAAAGGTGGTGTTCCGAACATCTACTCGGGGTAAGAATCCTTCACATTTTCTTCCGTTACGGTTAAATTAAAGTTTAATAAATAGTAAACAAAAAATTATGAATGTTGGCGGCCCTTTGATTAATTAAATACAGGTTTTTGATGGAGTCAATAACCGGTCAGTGTACAATTATTCCTAGTTTATCTGTATTGCCTATTTATTGTTAGACTATTTTATTTGCTTACTATATGTCGTGTACTTTAATTTATCAATTTTAATTGTTTTTCTTATTTATTAGTTACTTAACTATTTTCATCCTTATCCATAAATTTAGTTTGAAATGAATGTCTTAATTGCATTTTTCTGGACCATTAGGTCTTAGTTTATATCGCCTATTAAATGATTATTCTATTTTCTTGTAATTATGAAATAAGATTGTTTTATGTATTTAGTGGCTAATGGTGATAAAGACATGTATGTGTAAAGTAATGTTATTCAACTAAGGGGCTTATTAAGTGCATGAGAAAGAGTGTACAAACCCAATACATAGGGTAAACCCTACTGTGAATGCTACTCTCAATCGAACGAGCTGAAAATCTCATACTAGAAGAGGTTAGGAGTTCACCATCACAATATTATTTTCCTCTGTCAACGCTTGCTCTTCATTTTCCCTTAGCTTTTTCTTACCCTAGCTAACCTCAAGTCTTTTTTTCTTCCTCTAACCAAATTCAAACTTCCTCTTGCCTTAATTTGCTTAAAAAGAAAAACTAAAATCTTATTTGCCCAAAAATGAAGTAAAATTTATTTTTCTATAATCAAATCAAGTTCTAAACTCTGTGTCTTAATGAAACAAAAACGTAAAATCAATTATCAAGATGATAGTTGAGATATAAATTATAAAAATTTTATCTATTTTTAAAATTAGAATATAAAAGGCAATGGTAATTCACGGTAGAGGTGTCTGTCTAATTCTTCAATACTCGTTATTTTACCAAACCTAGAAAGATTGATAAGGGTCTCACCAAGAGCTAAAACAAGAAAACAATGTATTGACATGTGCCATAACGCCAATTTTACCTATATTACTGTACTTTCCTCTAAATGAATATTATGATGATATAATAAACGGAATATATATATATACATACGATAAATTATCAACCAAATTTGGTTTATGCAATGTGAAACTTTAGTTTTTGTAATCAAGCAAATATTTTCTTTTTCTTCAAACCCATAAAAACCCTATTTACAAGTTTACACAATGCCCAAATACTAAAACCAAGTCGAGCCCAAATAACTCAGCCCAGCCTATCAATTTGGCCCCAGCCTTTTGGTTTCGCTCACCTTTTTCGGGCGAAACGCACCGTTTTCATTCTTACCCATTACCTTTCCTGGAACCGTGGAGAATAAGAAGGGAAGGCGAGAGAGAGACAGAGTGACAGATGAATGGTGATAGAGAGCAGATAACGCAGAGAGGAGTTTCTGGCTCTCTAATGATGGCAGTTCGTCAATGGTGGCTCTAATTGACTTGAGGAAAAAGATTTCATTGACTCAACCAAGGAAAAACTGTGCCTTCAAAAACTTTCACACTAACAAATATATACATAACCGTTCTGTTCTTCATTATATAAATATATTATAATCATATGTAGATGCCAGTTTTTTGCCAAAGAAGCAAAAAATTATTTTCTGCAGAGATGTTTTTTAGTCTACTAGCCTTCAACTTCATTGATATACAATAAACTTCTTCAAGGGGTGTTTACATTTCTCACACGCCACACTTTCTTCCATGGATTCTTCGGTGTAGGGAATAACACTAGTGTGACCGCAAGGCTCGGCATGAAGAGGTGTTTCAATTGCAGTTCTAGAAGCTCCCATCAATCTTACATGTTCTCCCCAATCAGGAAACTTGTTCAAGAATTCCCTGAGCTTGTTTCCTGAAAGCTTTATGATGTCTGTGGATGACCCTTTTCCAATCAGCGCCCAACCCTTTTGGCTGTCATCAAAATCCAGCATTTCTGAAACTTGTTCTAGAATATGATCTGTATTTGCTTTCTCTGCTGGTCTCAGTCGTGATCTCCTCATGCTCTCCAGTCGAATCCAAAACAAGTGCAACTTTCTGAAAGAAAGCAAGTTTCTATGCATATTTCTGTTGGCGGTGAGTAAAATGCTTCTTATTTCTTCATCTGGGTTCTTCTTTCCAGTGTAAACCATTTCAAGTTGCATCCCAGCATTTTGAATTTCCTTCATTTTACCATTGAATTCACCAATCCATTCGAGGTCCTTGCTTCCATATATGCAAACATTTCTCCCTTCTTTTATCTGAAATCAAGCAAAAACGAAATCTCATCAGAACAAATAAGAAATTTTCTCCATATCATACTCACGGTAAGTCCAGTATAAACTCTATTATCTCTAGCCCGGCAGGATCAAAACCCTAACAACTGATACTAATTATTCTACAGAAATTTACAAGACTTGGTGATGAAGTTACCAATTTAGCAAGAAGTGGGTCAATGTCATCTATCAAAAGTTGCAATGACCAGTTCTCTCCTTCCCAAAGCTCATTTTCTCTTGAAACTGAAAAAGGATATGCCCTGGCACCCCATATGAATGTCATATCCAGTGCATTGGAATTAGTCATTTTGCCTTGCGAATCCAAGACTACCATGATGGGCTTGCCTTTGTAGCTGAATTCCGTTTGTATAAAGTTCACCACCGATGAGTTAAGCAGGTGGGGTTTCCGCAGTGAGTACCATGGCAAAGAGTTGGACAAGAAACTGAAACTTATCTGTTCAGCATCGGTCCATGTGAGTCCGTGAGATGATATGGGAACCCATATGATTTCATAGTTTCCCTTTATCATGAGGTGATAAGGATGATCATAAGTCTGTTGGACCAGAAAGAACAATTCTTCTGATGGAAGCAGCTCTGGCTTTGAAATCAAAAGTATGACAATCTTGTTTTTCAGCTCAGATACACCCATCTGCAAATGAATGCACAGCTGTTAAATAAAATAGAACAATCTTGCATTCAGAAGATACACTTCTGGACATCTGATTGATTATATGAGCACCCAGAAAAAAAAAAGAAATTGAAGAATGGAATTGAAAAAAAGAAAAAGAAAAGCAATTGGGTTTACGAGTTTGGAGCAATCTCTAAATGGCAAATCATCATTGAGAGCAAGTAACATGTGAAGCACCCCTTGGTTGTCAACATGGGTCTCCTTGAAAAGGTTCTGCAGCTTCTGGTAAATCTTTTTCTCTGTAAGTAATTCAAGAAAACAAGAAAATTTGATGCTTCTTTTTGCAAAAGCTGCATTATATGAATCTGTGAAGGCCTTCAATATCATTAAAAAGAGTGTAAAGATTCACCTATTTGTTGGTGACATGCCTCTACCTGCCTTCTCAGGAGACTGTACCTACTGCTTAATCTGTAAACCAAACTAGAGAGCTCCCATGCTGCAATTGTTGAATTTAAGGACCTGATATCCCATTAAAGAAAAAATAAATCATATCAGAAGTTATCAAAATGGTTTAGAAATGATCAGAAAACAGAAGAAGGTGATGCCTTTAGCAAGTGATGTTTTATATTTGTGGTGCAATAGCTTAAAAAGTGCTGATTGCTAGCAGATTCAGGTGATGGATCTGTAATGTTACAAAGATTAATGGATTGATTGAATGTTTGAATTTCTTGTGATGATCATGAATGCAATTAATTTAATAAGACGAAACAGAAACATTTGCAGGCTGATTAAAGGGAAAGAAATGCACTTGCTCTGGCTTCAGGGCTCTGAGATCGGTGATTTGAGATGAGCATGTTAAGGCACTTCTAATAACCCAGTAAGCAGCCATATAAATTTGAGACTTGGTAGCAGCCACCATCTCATCATCCAGCTTTACATTTTCCAGTGGCAGGCCTTCAAACTTGATGATGCACTTGGCAACATCAATCATGGCCTTGGCAAGCAAGTTTAAGGTCTTAAGCTGATGTTTAAATTTGCTTATATCATTTGACAATCCCTTCAAAATTGCTACTGATTTTGCTAAGGGGTTAGAAGAGTATAGTTGCCTTAACAGCCATAATTCACCATAGCATTTTGCAAAAGCTGTAAGTACTAATACCACTTTGTCACCCCATCTATAATTTCTCAATAGTTCAAATAACATCATTGATCTTGCATGCAGATCCTTTCCCCCGGAAAATCTCGAAAGCATCTGCAACCACGGAGCTTTAGAACGGGGTTTGCATTTCCAAAAGAGATGGAGAGACAAGGAGGAAATTACCTGAAGTGAAATGTTACAAGTTGTGTGTGCCAGTGGTTCCTGTGATCCAACTACTTCAGTGCTGCTTATCTTATCATTTGATGTGGAACCAGGATCAAAATCAGAAACCTGAAAAAAATTTGAAATAATCTGAAGAAAAAAGATCAAATACTTCCTTCACAATCAATGATTAACCCACTAGCATCGTTCAGGTATGTAATAATGTCCATTATGAATATCAATTGTTGGATCATTCAGAAATGATGTACTGCAAGTTCTGATCAGGTTAACATAAAAGCCGATACTTTTATATATAATCAGAGTCAAATAATTAACTAATTGAAATGAAGAATGTGACCCAAAATTAAGTAGAGCCTAGCAAGAATTACTAGTTCTTGAGATGGTGTCCCAAAACGAATGACATTCTCTACTGTGTGAAGCAGCATGTGGGATTCAACAAGGCGAGCATCAGGGTCATGGCTAATCAGAAGCTTCTTTATCAGAATCTCTTCATTTAAAGAAGAAATATAACTTAGCCAGATGGGATCAAATTCAAGTGGCCTCATGGCAAAGACAAAATTGAACCAAAGGCAAAGTGGTACATCATTGATTAGATAACATCTGAGTCTATAGAGAAGAAATCTGGCCAAGTATCAGTTAATATTTGAGCAGATGAGTTAGAGAAAACTCTTTCAAAGTTTTGATTATAATTTGAATAGAGTCTGAAGATGAAGCATTCTGCTTTTCATGTGGAGACCACCAAAAGAGTACGTTTTTAGTTAAAGATTATTCAACAGTGTGACTAGAATCAATTCTCTTTTGCACTTTTTTCTGCAACCTTCCTCCTTTTTTATCATCAGAGAAACCACCAAAATTGTAACACACAAGTCTCAAACATCAATAATCCGATAATCTTTCGAACCCAAATCACTAATCCTCATACGTTTAAACTCCAGTTATTATTAAGTGTATGGTTCGAACTATCGCATTTAAATGTGAAATTGGAATATCACAAAAACAAAGTACGGAATAATATACAAGATTTGACAAATTTTTCTGAAGTCTAATTTTTTATTAAAACAAAATGATGATGCAGCCTGCAGGGATGAAAATAAAAAAGAATCTAATGGAGAAAATATTAACACGTACAGAAAAATAAAATGACAGTGATGGATACTTTATCTTTAATTACAGTCTCATATTGGGTAGAAAACTTGTATTTATGGAAAGGAATATTATGTTCCTATTAAAAATTGGCGTGTTTGTAGCACTTTCTAAGCTTCAAAGCAGATTAAAGTTTGGGCTTTAATGACAGTAATGGAGTTCCCAATTTTCCTACTTCAGATACCTTCCTACCATTATTATTTTCTCCACTGTATTATTTGTCTGATACGTGAGAAGAACAAAGTAATGTGTCTGTTTAGTTGAATTCTCCATATGAAAGGAGTAATTTTTTTGGTTGAAAAGAAAATTTGTCCCATTATTGTCTTCAAAAACTGTAATAATCTTGAGAAGTAAGTCTTGTTGAATGCATAGTTTTACAAGAAAAAACAAAGGTGTATGGTATTTATCTTCTGTTTATATTGATTTACTCTAGCTCGAAAAACCCACTTCATTAAGATTCCGGAAATTCAATTTGTTCTTATCTCCTTGGAAAATTAAATGGGTAAATGTTACATGTTTTATCTTTCACCAATCATTTTGTTCTAATTAATTAATCCGAGGTTATTAACTATGATTAAATTGAGTCCTCATCTACTTCATTAATACCCAACCGCTCCTACTTAAATCACTCATTTCCACTAATATAAACTGGAACTGCTACCCTAATCACACATCTCCCTTTATATTCTCTTAAGAATATTATTTCCCTGGATGGAATTTCTTCAACATATAGCTGACTCAGTACTCCCATAAACAATATGGAAAATTGTTCATTAATATTCATTTCATCTATATTTACCAACCAAGTCATTTGGCTCGAAAACGACATCCATCAAAGTAAAGAGACTGAATTAAAAGCATCGCTTCATGGTTTTCCATCAGTAAGATACCTCATTGAAGACTTTTTCTTAACAGTCTTGAGATGATCACTAATTGTTGTGTAATTAAATGAGAACTCTTGACATTATTGGCTTAATTAGAAATAATAATCCAATTTGAGAAAACTATAGCTGTGTATATGTATTATTATTACTCGTATGGGAAGCACTATCTTTGGGTGCATCCAGAAAAAAAAAAAAAAAAAAAAAAAAAACACTGGTGACATTGATGGTGAATATGAGGTAGACAATTCTTTGTTTTTGTTTTGTGGAGATTGAGAATGAGATATGCAGAGTGAAGAATTGGAACGATGTAAAATTGCTACATGGGTTTTGTTTTTCACTGACGTAGAGACGAAGAATAGCATTTCGAATTTAAATTGTTATCTCCTGATACGGCAATTTAAGTCAAATATTATGGAGCAAGCGCCATAATAAACTTTCTCACTCGTGCTGAAAAAATGTTTCTTCTTCCAACTCTCTCCGTAAATGAAGATTGATTGATTATTTTTAATCGGAACTAAATTCTTGAAAATTTGTTAGAATTTATTTATATGTTATTCTAATTATAAACTAATTTATGTTAGTTAATTTTTTTTCTCATATTTTAATATAATTTATATTTATTTAATCATATTAATTATAACTTTTTTTACAAATAATTTCTATATATATATTTAAAAAAAACATAATTTTAAGATAGTTTTGAAATTTGGTAGCATTTTCATAGAGTTTATATGTGTGTATATATATTTATAGCAAAGATAGTGGCTGAAAATAGAAAAAAGAATAATTTTACATTTAAAATACGTCAGAAGCTTGCTGCTTCGCATATCACAACTATTTCAATTAAATGTAGTATTATATATCCATCCATACATTAAACAAATAAAGATTATTTAGTAATAAAATATTCAAAAATATATCAAGACATATATATTTTATATATGGTATTGATGCCAATAGCTAGTTAGACCTTTAAATCAATAACATAAAAATTATTAAATCCACATAAAAATTTATAACTACAAATTAATTAGTTTAAAGTGAAATAAAAAATTTAAATGAGATCTTAGAGTAAAATTAGGTTTGAGTAGATTGTACATAATCAAGGTTTTGTGAACGTAGAATTGAGTAAATTGTGCCGTTTTACACTCAATTAGAACTAAAATCTTTTTTGTTTGAGATCGAAACTTATTATAAAATTTAAAATTTTTAATTACAATACTAAATTGTCTACAGTTTTTATATATAAATTATTAATTTTTAATATTTTTTATTTAAAATTTACATATTTTAATAATTATATTGTTTGTCTATCAAGTTGTTTGTCGCTGATAGACATACAATACAATAAATTTCTTAACAAAAACATATATAAAATCCTACTAAAATTAAAAATTTTATAAAATTAAAGCAGTACAAGCATTGTTTAACTCAGCAAGTAAGTTGTCTCCTACCAAAGCAAATTTGATCCCATGAATTAAATGTGCAAATTCAGTACAAAGTGGAATGCGAATGCCACAGCAATCAGACAAGTAAAGCAATCAGCACCAAACACATGAATGCGATTGATTTCCTTTTCCATTCTTAAGCCTATAAAGTTTGTTCAATACGTCATATAACAATATACAGAAATGATTTCAGCACGCAAAAAAACTAATATAAACATACTTCCAGAGTCAATCAAGTTGGTTCCACCATTAATCAATAATACCTCCATATTCTCTTCCTTTCATTTATCATAGTAATTAACTTGTCCTCATTTCTTTTTCATATGTAATACCCATTAAACTACCACTCTCTCTCTCTCTCTCTCTTTCTCTCTATCTATATATATATATTTACACACAATATAAACTTCCAGAGCCAATGAATATTGCTGTGTCTTCAATGGCGTGGTTATATGTTCACTTCTGTTTCTGGGATGTAGGGATTGCATTATTGGGTCTATTTATTTTCAGCTGCATACTGGAGAGACGAAGGACCAAAGGACCGATTATGTGGCCGGTGCTTGGCATCACGCCATGGCTGTTCCTCTACGGCGACCAGCTTCACGATTGGGCTTCCAGGACTTTAACCACAGCCGGAGGAACTTATCGCTACAGAGGAATTTGGCTCGGAGGGGCATTTGGTGTCACCACCGCTGACCCTTCAAACATCGAATACATGCTCAAGACCAACTTTAACAACTTCCCAAAAGGAGATTCTTACAGAGAGAGGTTCCATGATCTGCTCGGTGATGGTATTTTCAATGTTGATGGTGATTCGTGGAAGGAACAGAGACGGATGGTGAAGGCTGAGATGCATTCAAACAGGTTCATGCAGCACTCGTTTCAGACCACTCAAGATTTGGTGAATAAGAAGCTTATTGGATTGACAGAGAAGTTTTTCAAGTCGGGAGAGAGTTTCGATCTTCAAGATGTTCTTCTTCGGTTCACGTTTGATAGTATTTGCAGTGTGGCATTTGGGGTTGATCCAGGCTCTTTGGCCATTGATTTGCCTCAAGTTCCTTTTGCTAAAGCTTTTGAAGAAGCAACAGAGCTCTCTCTCTTACGTTTTATGATACCTTCTCTGTTCTGGAAACCCATGAAGTACTTCTGCCTGGGATATGAGAAAAGGCTCAAGAAAGCCATTAAAATCGTTCATGATTTTGCTGATAAGACTGTAAGAGACCGGAGAAGCCAAATGAACAGCAACTCTGCTAACCTGAATCACCAATCCGATCTCCTTTCAAAGCTTATGCAGATCGAAAACAACGTAAAAGCCAACGGAAACCCTCTTCCCGACAAGTTCTTCAGAGATTTCTGCGTTAGTTTCATCATAGCAGGACGAGACACAACTTCAGTAGCACTCTCATGGTTCTTCTGGCTACTCCATGAAAACCCAGATGTTGAAAGCAAGATTCTGAGTGAGATGAAAGAAATCCTAGGTCAACGCAAAGCTAAAACTGAAATTTCCAACACAGTTTTCACAGAGGAAGAATTAAAACAGATGGTTTATCTACAGGCAACATTATCAGAAACCCTGAGACTGTACCCTTCCGTGCCATCTGAAATGAAACAAGTTGTAGAAGATGACGTGCTCCCAGACGGGAACATGGTGAAAAAGGGTGCTCGAATTTTCTTCTCAGTTTTCTCCATGGGGAGAATGGAGTTCATTTGGGGTAAAGACTGCCGGGAGTTTAAACCAGAGAGGTGGATTAAAGACGGACAGTTCGTGAATGAAAATCAATTCAAGTACGTTGTCTTTAATGCAGGTCCAAGACTGTGTTTGGGAAAGAGGTTTGCTTACATGCAGATGAAAATGGTGGCTGCTTCCATTTTGTTGAGGTACTCAGTTAAGGCCATTGAAGGGCATAACGTTGCTCCAAAAGTGACAACTACGTTGTACATGAAGAACGGGCTTATGGTCACCCTCAACCGTAGGCCACTTGCCACTGAATAAGAAATTATATATATATATATATATATATATATGTATCAATCATCAAGGAGATCATTCTTGTCCTATTTACCTACTATTAACATATATATATATTTTCCCTAAGCTTTCATTTGGTTGAAATTGAGAATTATGGTCTTTGAATCTCCAAATAGTGAAGATGAGTTTTCTCATAATGCAATATAATTATTATTTGACAGTAGACAATAAACAGATAATTTTTTAAGATAAATTTTTTATTTTAATTTCTGATTTACTATAAATGCTCTTAATGTAAAGATTATTCGTGTTATAATATCACGTTTTTATTAAATAATTTTACAAATTGATAGAGAATTATATAATTTTTTATCAGAAACTTATGTAATTATTAGACCTTTTGTTTTCTTTTAAGAAAAAAAATATTGAACAGGTTTTCAAAAGAGATTCTTTTTGTTTTTTTTCAAATAAAGCCTAAATTTATGTAATATGAACTAGTATAAAAATAGAAACATATTTGGATAAATAAAAATAGTATCTTTTATTATATAATGTAAGTTATTCATAACGAAAATAGAGATATATTTTTACTTTTATAAGTTGCCAATGGTGTTGATGTGGGCAATTTTGAGATTGGATTCTGTTTGATGTAAAAAATTTGTTACAAATAAACTTGTAGTACTATCAACAAGTTTGAATCACTAATTGATAGGATCACACCTATTATCTCTAGTTAAACACTTGCAATTATTTGTGACAATAATATTGTTTGAGTCCACATTCAAGTAAATAGATGTTTCATCGGTTAGTTTAGAAGAAAAATACATCTTAGAATCTGATGAGTTCTCATTTTGACCTAGAATCCATACAAACAATACTTAATTTCACAAGTTTTTCCAATTTTTCAGCTCTAAAACATAAATGCATTCCCTTAAGTAAGATAATCTGTTGAGATGTGCAGCTTTAACCATTAGATTTAGTACATAGACCCAATATTAGAGGATCGTGTAATGATTTTCTTGAGATACAAAGTCCTGTTGATTGATGAAAATTACGTTATACCTATTCTTTTCAAATAGTCCTAATCCTACAATTTAAAACAAATTAAATTAAGAAACTTACAATAAAAATAAATTATAAATTATTTTAATATATAGAAATAGATCATATGTATGTACCTTGAAAAGGAATTTGGATGGTAAGTACTTTATACAAGAAGCTTCAATTCTTCATATCACACAAATTCCAGTCAAACAATCCAAAATATTCATTTTCTTTAGGCACCTTCTCTCAAATAATAACTTACAATAAGTGTCCACAATACCCAATCTAGATCAAGATAAGTTGCCACACCCAGGAAATAATTCAAATACCTATTGTCATTCATATTTGTTTCTCTTTGATCTGCCACAAATTCACTCACAAACAATGGCCAACCTTGGTCTAATAAGAATTCTAATATATATTTCATATTACTCATTACTGCCACACGCTTGATTAGGGTTGCTACTTTCCCATGCACTACCATACGAGAACGCACACCAATACTATTTAAATATTAGCTTTCCAGCGAATGTTAAGTTTATTAGTTACATTCGAACAAAAGATAAGTCTATATCATAATTTAGACTAGAAACTATGACAAGAATATTTAGATTTACTTTATACACTAACTCTGCTCTTGCTATTATATACTTTCAAGTTCAATTTATTAAAATTACTACAAGAGATAGTGACGTGAAGACTATACTTTGGATTTAGTTTGAAGATGTTATTCTTAGATCTGGTGACCATTGGGTGAATGGAGGTGGAAGGGTGTTGAGCAAGTGGATCACTACCGGAGATATTGTGTTGGGTATCAATAGGTGATGAACAAGCGAACAGTGGTCCAGTGGAATGGATGTTCGGTTGGGATAGAGGAGACTCAAAGAAGTCGTGGTTGGTGGTATGGATTGGCACACTCAGTGAGGTAGGTATCATGGGACTTGGTGGGGGAGGTATTGGCAAGAGATGACCCAACACGGAGGCCTCTTGGCCACTTTAGGCGGTACCATTTTCGATTAGTTGCTACTTGAGTCAATACCATCACTGGCTAAGAAAGAAGATTGAAATGGGAACTCAGACTCAACAAATACAACATGATGTGAAACGTAGATTTTTTAGATGAGCAGTCATAGCATAAGAAGGTACTTTGAGTAAGTGAGTAGTCGAGAAATACACATGGACAAGAGCGAGACTCTAACTTGTGAGATGTGTAAGGACGTAACCAGGGATAACAAAGGCAACCGAACACACGAAGTGTTAAGAAATTTGGAGGAGTTTAAAAGAAACATTCAAAGGATAATCTCATTGAGAGATTTTGTTTAGGCATACGATTGATGAGATATACAGCTGTAGCAAAGGCAAAAGGCCAAAATGAGGGGGAGGATAGAAGCGTGATGAAATAATGTTAAGCCAGTTTCAACAATGTGACCATGTTGGCGTTCAGAGAAGCCATTATGCTCAATTGTGTGAGGTGGGGTTGTGTTGGTTTGATGAGGATAAATATGCAAGCACATCAAGAAGAATTATGAGTGAAAAAGGAGATTATTTTTTGAATTGAAAACTACATTACAAAACTAATTCCAGTGCCTATTTATAGGCTTTACACTTAACTAAATTGCAGAAAATCTTGGATACTAACTAATACCTGCTTTGACTACAAAACAAAAAATCTACTCCAGATATTTTACTAACAACCATAACTAAAATTGAGAGATTTCTGCAGCTAAACTTGAGAGATTTCTGCAGAAGTTTGCTGCTGCACATTTTGAATCATATCTCCAACAATATCTCCAACACTCCCCCTTGATTCAAAATCACACACTCCAAGCAAGGCCTTAAGATATGCATGTCTTTGACTTGATAAAGCTTTTATAAAAATATCTGCAACTTGAACTTCAGTATTGCAAAACTTCATAATTATTTCACTTTTGGTGACCAATTCTTGAATGAGATGGAATCTCAGCTCAATGTGCTTTGTTCTCCCAGGAAATGCTAGGTTCTTTGACATTATAATTGTTGATTTATTATCACAATATAACTCAGATCCTCTTTCTTGCTTCTGTTGTAAATCACACAGCATTCTCCTGAGCCAAATGGATTGACAGGCTACTGTAGCAGCAACCATATACTCTGCTTCTGCTGTTGACAAAGCTGCTGTTGCTTGTTTCTTGGAGCACCATGTGATGGCACCTGATCCTAGCCCAAACACATTTCCAGAAGTGCTTCTTCTATCATCCAACGAACTTGCCCAATCACTGTCAGTAAATCCAACTAATCTGAAATTGGTTACTTGAGTGTACCAAATTCCATAATTCAATGTCCCAGCTATATAACATAGAATCCTCTTTGATGCTCCATAGTGTTGCATTAATGGATTACTCATAAATCGTGAACAACTCCAATCGAAAATGAAATATCCGGTCTGGTATGTGTTAAATAGATCAATCCACCAATTAAGCTTCTAAATTGCTTCTGATTAGCATTTTCTGCACCGTCCTCTTGCTGCAATTTTTGATTCACGTTCATTGGTGTAGCTACCATCTTGCAATTATACTTGTTCAATTTCTTCAACAGGTCTGCTGCATACTTCTTTTGGTAAATGTGAACACTCCAGCTTCATCTTGTAGTATCTCTGGCCCAAGAAAGTTATGCAGCAGTCCTAAGTCTGTCATTTTGAACTTGCACATCATGCTTGACTTGAACTCTTGCACAATTGCAGAATCTAAACCCATGTAGATTATATAATCTACATATAAGCAAACTAAGATACATAATAGGCTCATTTTCGCTCCTTGCAAAATCAGTTTCCCGAAAAAATGCATCAATCTTGTTGTACCACGCTCTTGGGGCTTGCTTCAAGCCATAGAGAGCTTTCCTTAGCTTATAAACTTTTCCCTTTTTTCCATTAATCACAAACCTTCAGGTTGTGAGACATAGACATCTTCTTCAAGTTCATCATTGAGAAATGTTGATTTTACGTCAAACTGGTACACCTTCCATATGAGTTAGGCTGTCAATGTCAAGAGTAATCTCACCATTTCAAATCTGGTCACCGAAGAAAATGTCTCCACATAATCAATCCCTTGTTGCTGAGAATATCCCCTTGCAATCAGTCCAGCCTTTTGCTTTTGAACACTTCCATCTGCATGAAATTTTTTTTTATAAATCTATTTTAAGCGCACTACTTTCTTTCCATTTGGCATTGTTAGTTGAAAAATAAAAAATTGAAGATAAGATCAAAGTTGGAAATCTGGAAATCTGAAAAATAAAAATTTTCTGTAAAATAATTTTATGAAGAACTATATTGCTACAAACTTAATTACAAATTAGTGAAGAAATAAACTACATTTAAATAAAGGATCATAACTGCAAGAAGCAAGCCACGATCTCCACATACTGGAAAATGAAAAACTGAATCCTGAAGTCTAGGAACTGCTATCGACTTGGTAAAAGATAAACATGCAGGAGTGTAGTTTCTAAAGCACAAATAAATTACACTCCTCCTTGCACTAGGAGCTGCAAACTCCAAGTTTTAATCGAAGAAGCTCAAACTTGTTTGCTGGAAGCGACTTTGTAAAAATATCAGTAAGCTGATCTTCAGATTTGCAGTGAATCAAACTCACTTCTCCTTTCTTCTGCACTTCTCTTAAAAAGAAAAGCTTGATCTTGAAATGTTTAGTTTTACCATGAAAGACTAGATTATGAGATATTGCAATTGCGGCCTGATTGTCTACAAATACATTCGTTTCATTCAATTGCTTAAACTGAAGATCACATAATAACTTTCTTAGCCACAAAGCTTGACTTACTGCTGCTGTAGCAGCAATAAATTCAGCCTCAGCAGTTGATTGTGCTGTGATTTCTTACTTTTTGGAGCACCAAGAGAAAATACCTGATCCCAAACTAAAACAGTACCCTGAAGTGCTCTTCATATCATCCACAGATCCACCCCAATCGCTGTCTAAGTATCCTATGAGCTGCAAATTTTGACAATTTTTGAACTTCACACCAAAATTAACAATCCCTTTGATATATCTCACAACTCTCTTTGCTTCTTTAAGATGCATTTCACTTGCATAATGCATGAAGCGAGAGAGAATGCTTACAGCAAAGATGATATCTGGCCTGGTTGCAGTTAGATACATCAAACCAATCAAGCTTCTAAGATAGCCTTCATCCACCTTATCAGTGTCATCATCCTTGCTTAGACTTTCTTTTTGACTCACTGGTGTTGTTGTTGCCTTGCATTCTTCTATGTTGAATTTTTTCACTATTTCTTTTGCATACTTCCTTTGAAAAATAAATACTTCACCTTTACTTTGTTTGATTTCAATTCTAAGGAAGTAGGTTAACACATCAAGGTCTGTCATTTCAAAAAACAGCCTTATCTCCTTTTTGAATTCATAAATGAGCTTGGTATTGTTACCTGTCACCAACAAATCATCAACATAAAGTGAAACAATAAAAACATCATTTCCCTTTTGCTTAATGTAAAAGGTGACTTCGGACATGTTTCTGATGAACCCCTAAGCTTAACAGATAATCATCAATCCTGCTATACCAAGACCTGGAAGCTTGTTTCAAATCATAGAGGGCCTTCTTGAGCAAATACACCTTGTCTTCATGTCCTTTTTCATCTCCTCCTGCAATAAACCATTTTAAAATACTGATTTTACATCTAATTGGAATACTTCCCAACCATTTTGTGCTGCTATGGCTAGCACCAATCGAATGGTTTCTAATCTAGCAACAGGGACAAATGTGTCTGAGTAGTCAACCCCAAATACTTGAGCATATCCCTTGACAACAAGCCTGGCTTTGTGCTTGTTTATTGAACCATCTGCATTTAGTTTGGTTCTGAACACCCATCTTACACCGATCACTTTTCTATCTTTTGGCCTTTCAACCAGTTCCCATGTTTTATATTTTCTAATCATTTGCATTTCTTCTTCCATTGCTCTTTTCCACTTAGGATCTCTAAGTGCTTCTTCATTTCCTGAAGGCTCATATACTGCTACATTGCTTCTTTCATAAATGTCAGAGAGCAGTCATGTTCCACGAACTGGTGGCTCATCTTCTGATTCGGACTGCCAGTGATCAGCTTCTTCTTGTGGTAAGCGGATGGGAATACTCAGCTTTGAGTTTTTTAAATGATTCTCAGACTTTGATGAGTCTTTCCAATCCCATTTTTCTTCTTCATGAAACTGAATCTCCCTGCTAACTATCATTCTTCCTGTTTGTGGCTGGTACACCTTGTAAGCCTTTGACACTGTACTATATCCCACGAAGATTCCTGGTATAGCCTTTTTATCTAACTTGTCACGCTTCACTTGTGGTACATGAGTAAAACATATACACCCAAAAACTCTAAGGAAGGCTAGAGACGGTTTATAACCAAACCATACCTCAAATGACGTTTTGCCTTTTAAGGTTTTTGTTGGTAGTATATTTTGCAGAAAAATCGATGTATTGGCAGCTTCAGCCCAAAAATTTTTTGGCAATTCTTTTTCATGCAACAAGCACCTGGTCATCTCCATAATGCATCTGGTTTTTCTCTCACTGACACCATTTTGCTGTGGTGTATATAGAGCTGTCAGTTGGTGCTCAATACCTGCTTCTTCACAAAACAAATTGAATTTTTCTGACGTATATTCCTTTCCATTATCTGATCTGATGGTTTGTATCTTTAGCCCACTTTGATTTACTACCAATTTCTTGAATCTCCAAAATATACTAGCCACCTCATGTTTAAATTTCAAGAAATAAATCTAGCACATGCGGGTAAAGTCATCTATAAATATGACATAATACAAATTACCTTTTAATGAAGGCGTTCTTTGAGGGCCAGCAACATCGGTGTGAATAAGGTGAAGTTTCTTTGAAGATCTCCATTGGACTTGAGGAAATGGTGCTCTACTTTGCTTGCCAAATTGATAAGCATGACAGTCTACCATCAAAGGCAGGCAATCCGGTTATCATCTCATGCCTTTTCATCTGCAGCATACCTTAAAGATGACAATGTCCAAGTCTCTTGTGCCATATCTCGGTGTTATTGACTTTAGTGGAATATGCAATGTTCTCCTCCTTGGATGGATTGAATGAGAAGCTTTTCCCTTTCATTCTTACTTTGAGAATCTCTTGACCTGAGACATCCTGTATATAACATAAGTTGTCTTCAAAAATACCTTAAAGCCTTTTTCAATCAATTGACCTACACTCAACAGGTTTTGATCAATATCAGACACATAAAGAACGTTAGAAATCTTTTTTGTTCCTGAATTTCCAATTATGACTATCGTTCCTTTCCCTTTCACAGATATATAGTCACCATTTCCAATTCTGACTTTACTGATGTCAGTTGGATTTAAATCCCTGAAGAGTTTTCTGTCGTTGGTCATATGATTAGTACACCTGCTGTCAATTAACCAACCATCAGTTGAACTGCTGCCGACAAAGCATGATGCTACAAAAAGATGATCTTCATCTTCTTGATTTGTAACTTGGGCTGCAACTTTCTGCTCTTCATCTTTTTCTCTGCAGATTACTGCTTCATGTCCAAGCTGGTTGCATTTGGAGCACTTAGCATCGGGTCTTCTCCAACATTTGAAAGGAGGATGACCCTTTTTTCCACAATGTTTACAAGGTGGATACGATTTTTTCTGATTTCCATTTTTCCCTTTGACATTGAATGATTCTGTACCAATTTCACTTCGTTCTTGATCCTTTTTTTTCTTCTTATTTTTGTTTGCATTTTGTTGCTTTGCCGCCAAAGCTCCTTCTACCGATGTGTTGTGTCTCATCAATCTTCTCTGATCTTAAGCTTGCAAAGCATTGAGCAATTCTGCCAAGATGATGTTTGATAGATCCTTAGTGTTCTCCAAGGTTGTAATGGTTACTTCATATCTCTCAGGTACAGTAACTAGAATTTTTTCAATAAATGTAGATCCAAGAAGGCTTACCTTGTTTGCAATTGATAAAAGTCTATCAGAATAGTCTTTAATTGTCTCAGAGTCCTTCATTTTCTGTAATTCTAATTCTCTGATCAAGTTTAGAGTCTGCATTGCTTTTATCCTTTCATCACCAGCATATTTCTCTCTCAGATAATCCCAAATGGCTTTAGCTGTTTTAAGATACATTATCCTTGTAAAGATCATTGGTGACACAGCAGCAAACAAACATGCCTTCGCTTTGGATTTCTTTGTCTTTTTCTCCTTATGAGTCTTGATTTGAGCAACAGTGGGATTATTTGGCAAGGCTGGAACATCATAATTTTCTTCCACAGCCTCCCAAAGGTCCAAGGCCTCCAAATATGTTTCTATTCGTACTGCTCACATTTGGTAGTTGTCTCCATCAAAAATTTGTGGAGCAATCAAAGAAATACTGGCTTCTCCATCCATGGCGTCTGCTGAGTTCACTCTTGCACACACATAGGTCCCTAAAAAAAATGCTCTAATACCAATTGTTATTTGAAAAATAAAAAATCTGAAGATAAAGATCAAAGCTGGAAATCTGAAAATCTGAAAAATAGAAATTTTCTGTAAAATAATTTTTTGAAGAACTATATTGCTACAAACTTAATTACAAATTAGTGAAGAAATAAACTACATTTAAATAAAGGATCATAACTGCAAGAAACAAGCCACGATCTCCACACACTGGAAAATGAAAAATTGAATCCTAAAGTCTAGGAACTACTATTGACTTGGTAAATGATAAACATGTAGGATTGCAGTTTCTAAAGCACAAACAAATAACAAGCAACTCTGTTAGCTCCAAAGTTGAATTCTTTTCAATTGTCATGAGCTCCTCTACCATTGCCTTTCTCCACTCCTCTTTCTCTGTTGCCTCTTCATAAGTTGTAGGATCTGGAGCTAATAAAGCAAATTCTCCTGATTCATAAATCTCCCTTAGCTATTTGAATGTTCTTAGTGGTGTCTCCTCTGAAGATTCACTTGCTGAACTTGATGTTGCACTTGGTGTCGTTGCTGGACTTTGTTCAATTGGAGTAGAAGCTGGTAAATTAATTGAGATTGAGTTTGTCTCCCAATTAGTGGAATTGAAGTTTGATACCTTGAACTGCTACTTCCACTACTCTAATTTCAGTCTGCATTCTCATTAAACACTACATTTCTACTGACAATTATCTTGCCAGTTACAGGGTCATGACACTTATATGCTTTTGGCTCTAAACAATAGCCAATAAAAATACATTTGACTGATTTTTCATCTAATTTTTGGCAATTTTGAGAATTTAAAACATATGCAATACAACCAAAAAATTTTAAGTGTCTTGTAGTTGGTTTGCTCCCTTTCCATGCTTCATATGGAGTGCAATTCTGAACTACCTTTGTTGGGAAGTGATTTAACAAATACACCGCTGTTGCAATTGCTTCTGCCCAATACGAATTTGGCAGCCCTTTCCCTTTCAACAAACTTCTCACCATCTTCACCACTGTTCTATTTTTGTGCTCAGCCACTCCATTTTGTTTTGGAGTATGTGGCGTTGTTAGCTCATGTTTGATTCCATTTTTCTGCAAAAAATGTCTTCTCTTCATGATTTTTAATTTGAGCCAATGTTGGGCCTGGTCCAAGTGGTGTAGGATCTCCTCCGTCTTCTGTTTCCCACAAGTTTAATGCTTTTAGATAAGCTTTCATTGTAATTGCCCAAATTTGGTAAATCTCTCTATTAAATAATGGACGACTAGTTCCTAAAAAGTTTGATGAAGTCATGTAGCAATTACTTGCAAAGTATATGAATTCTCACCTTACAAACACTCAAAATCACCTTTCATAGGTCCTTCAAGAAGAAGGCTCTAATACCATTTGACAAAAAATTAAAAGAGTAGAAAAGAAACAGGAAGGATGACAAGAAACACGAATTTCTATTAATTGTTTTTCAAGATACAAGAGAGTGATATAAATTTATATACGAAGATTTTTTGCTGAAGTAGACAACTTTCTTAAATTATGGAAGAAAATCATAACATCATCAACTACAAAATATTATGTGCATATTTTACTGTTAAAAATATAGAGGACCATACATATACATAGTATTTTATACTTGCAAAATAGAAAATATCTAAACATTTCTAAGAAAAATCTTAATACATTAATAATTACTTTAAGTATATCTGATTCTATCCACTTAAATATAAATATGATGTTCTTTTTGTTTTCAAATGATTCAAATCTCTCGTTGAAAAATGCTTTGCCCGAACTATCGTCACACTCTATATTGATAATGGTGGAGAATATCTGCACGTTCCATCCGCACGCATGCACGGGACGTACGCAGAGTGTGCACGTCCCTTCCACGCACATGGTGTGGGGTTAGGACCTGCGCATATCTTGTCACGCACAGGCGGGCCGTCTGCGCGTCACCTTGTATGCGATAGGCGCCACACACTGTGCGCCTGTCGTTCGTGCAACAAGTCTACATGGATAGGCCTTGTTCGCCTAAGGCCTGCGCGTAGTAGGCCTACGTGTGCGACTGGACGCCTGTACACCTGTAGGCTAACCTGCAACGTGCCAGTTGGGGCACTATCACGTCGGGCAGTGTGTCAGCGTCGCCGCGGGTGGTGCACCACGGCTATCGGTGGAGGAGACCCTCTTCTTTCGTTTTTTGTGCTGAACATCTTTTTCTCCTTTCTATTCACTAGATTTCGCCACTTAGGGTGAATCCGATGGTTCTAAAATTCTGTAAATTGTCATTCCCCTTCCATATCTCCCCATACTTCCATTCTTCTATTTTACAAGATTTAGAGAGAGAGAGCGAGAAAGAGAGAGAGAGAGAGAAATAGTAGTCTAGTGAGAAAAGAAGAGAAAGAAAAAGAGAACAGTGAAGAAGAAAATATTAAGGTTTCGGTAAGGAATCTAGTATTTCTTTCGACGTCTTAATGAGTATTTTTAGATAAACTAATTTAATATAATTGTGATTTTGACTGTTTTGTATGCCTCTGTATTCAGATGAATCGAATTATTTTTATTTTCAAGCATGCTATGTGAATTGTAGACACTTGATGAATCACATGAAATAAATATAATTTGTAATCGGTAAAAATAAAAAGTATAAAAGAAAAGAAAAAAAAAGTGGAATAAAGCCTGTATGGTCCGAAGTGTATATGTATTGATATGCATATTGCATCAAGTGTCTCGCTAAACTTTTTATTTTTGAGGGGTATCTGTTCCCCTTACCATTCGGGGTATCTATTTTTTTCTCGCTTATCTGGTCTTGAAAGACAAAAGAGGACAACTCCTAGTGAATGACAGCGTACCCTATAACGAAGGTAGTATCACACTATTTGTAGGGGTCACTCGTGGTTAAGTAATGCCATGACTATAGATATCTGTTATGACTATTATGACTGGTGCGACTGTAGTCATAGATCGTACCATAGTTTGGCCAGCCGAAAATGGGTTTGAGCAAATTGTCTTATCTGTATCTGATATGGTTATTCTACTTGGATAGTTGGAAAGTTGTATATGCCATTAGAGATGGAAGTTGTAACGACTTCGTGAAGTATGATACGAAAATCTGAGCATTTCACGATTTATTTGATTTTCTTTATTATCTGACATGATATATATTTGATTGTATATATTAATGTACTGTTTTCTTAACAAATAAATGGTTTTCATAATGTGAGATAAGTAAATAAGAAAGTTGAATGATAAGCTCTTAAGTCAGAATAATTAACTTTTGAAATATTACGATGTTAATTTAATATTGTTTTCTTTACTAAATATATGAAACTCACTCTTTCCATACCTTCCCTCCAGATGAGGAAGAAAGTGAGAAACCGTAGGCTTACCTACTCTTAGAAGTCTATGAGGATCTCGTGGATCCACAAGTTTGAGTGCATGACTGTTCCTGCACTCTGATGAGTCCAATGTTTTATTGTGTATTTTGTAGCTACTTCTGGTCTCAATATATGTATGTATTGGAACTCATATGTATTTATAAGGGATTTGTAATAATTTTATTCCATTGCATAAATTTTATCATGCACTCGTTATTCTATATCTGTATCTGACACCAATTTACCTTAATTAACACTTGAGATGTCACAGATGGTATCATAACAGAATTTTGAGGATCAAATTCCTTGCCCTGAGGCCTTAGATAGATGAACCCTTTAGAATACCTAGGAAAGAAATAAGTCATCTTTTCAAGATTAGACCACCAACTCATGTCTTCATTTCTTTTGTACGAATGACGTGAGCAAGACCATCCGTAGAGCATGCTAAATGACCTGAAGCCCCGGATCATCCGATCAAGATGAATGTGCAGAACTTTTTCGAGCCATCCAAGGATTAACTGTAGCCATATGACAAAATCAAGCCAACCGTTATCCATCCCCTGCCCTTGATACTGAAAAATAGATCGGTGTATCTCCCACATATAACGGTATTTAGAACTTACCCCCACACTTTGAAGGTGGCTCTGATCCTTTAGTAGTCGAAGGTTGGATCCTACAGATAGAGAAGCTCTCTCTGTCCTAGACCTGACTGAAGAACAAAAAATTCTCCTTGTAGCTTTCATGTTAAACGGTAACACAGAACACTGGTGGCGACTTAAGAAGGAAGTCTTGTCTACCACTACTACTTGGAAAGTTTTCATGGATGCTTTCTTTGATAACTTCTTCCCTGTCTATGTTCGGAAATAAAAAGAAGAGGAATTTCAGGACCTTCACCAAGAAAGTCTGTCTGTTGCCTAGTATATAGTCCGTTTGGTTCAACTGTCTAGGTTTGCCCCTTTGATGGTCACCCCCGAAAGCTGAAAAACTAAAAAATTTCTCAAGGGTCTTCATGCTAACATTTATGACCGGATTATGATATTGAGACCTGATTCATATGCGGAGGTGCTCAAACATGCCCAGTTGGCCGAAGAGCTTATCTAGGCCAAGCACCAGTGCATTGTCCGAGTTTGTACCCAACAACAACACCAACATATTAAAAGAAGATTGCTTGACCCAGTAAGTAACCCTCTAGACAAACGAACTAGAGTTGTTATTCCTCCTGCCTTACCTTTACCTATAGCTCCACCTGCCCGATCTAACCAACCCTATCAGCATTGTGGTTGCTCGCACGGTGACCTACCTTGTCGGCATATCAATAACGTTTACTATCAGTGCAGAAGTATCTAGCACCTTATAAAGGACTGCGTCCAGTGGCTAAAGGATGTAGGTCGACCCAGGGTATGCTTTCTATTCATACCATTTATGCCAAGACTCTGATCGATATAAGTGCAACTCACTCTTTTATTTTCTGTATATTTACTTGTAATCTAGAGTTTAGACCAGAATCTTTAGAAAAAATACTAGTGGTGGAAACTCCCTCTAAGGAACTACTAGAGACTCACTGTGTATATTATGACTGTAAGATAAAAACTTTAGGAATAGAGGTATGTGTAAACTTGATACTGTTAGATTTTGTAAGATTTGATGTGATATTAGGAATGAACTGGTTGAAAAAGTATAGAGCTATAATAGATTATGAAAGTAAAATTATAACTTTACGATCCCTGAAAAAGAAATAAAAATTATTGTTATCATTTTTCTAACAATTGAATGAACAAGAATATGGGTGCTAATCCTGCTGTGTGTTCTATATCAATTGTTTGTAATTTTTCAGATGTCTTTTCCATCAAACTTTCTAGTCTACCTCCTCCACGTAAGGTAGAGTTCTTGATTGAATTGTTGCTTGGAACCCAGCCGATCTTGAAGCTCGCTTATCGCATGACTCGCACTGAGCTAACAGAGCTGGAACATCAACTTTCTAACCTTATCACACGGAAATTTATTTGCCCTAGCCATTCTCCTTGTAGCGCTCTAATGTTGTTCGTGAAGAAAAATGACGGTTCCCTTCGACTTTGTGTGGACTGTAGGAAACTCAACCGAGTGACTGTTAAAAGCAAGTACCCCTTATCCCATATCAATGGTCTCTTCGACCAGCTGTAAGGAGTCATGGTCTTCTCTAAGATTGATCTCAGGACTAAATATCACCAGGTGAGAGTTAGAGAAGAAGATATTTCGAAAATAGTCTTCTGGTGCAAGTACGATTTGTATGAGTTCAAGATGATGCCGTTTGGATTGACCAATGCCCCAGCAGCCTTCATGAATTTAATGAACCGAGTTTTTCAGCACGCACTAGATCAGTACGTCATCGTTTTTATTGATGATATTCTAGTGTATTCCAAAAGTCTTGAGGAACACGCTGTGCATTTAGCTGAAGTGTTGGAGACTCTCCGCCAAAACTAACTATATGCAAAACTAAGCAAATGCTCCTTTTGGTTGGATCGAGTTTCTTTTTTCAGTCATATAATATCAAGTGAAAGAGTTTCTGTAGACCTGTCCAAGGTGAAAACGGTGGTAAGGTAGAATCTGCCCACCAACGTGGCCGAGGTACGTAGTTTTCTTAGCTTATTAAGTTACTACCAACGGTTCATTAACGGATTCACCAAGATTGCTGCCCCTATAACTCGACTCACTCGAAAGGGCGTACCCTTCATATGAAATTATGAGTGCAGTGAAAGTTTCATCGGACTCATATGAAATTATGAGTCCAATATGATAGTGAAAGGAGTGACTCTTATGTTATATTTTGTTTTGTATTTTACAGTGACTTCTAACATCAGTATATGTATGTAATGGAATTCATATGTATTTGTAAGGAATTTATAATAATTTTGTTCTGTTGCATAAATTTTATCATGCACTCGTTATTCTGTATCTGTATCTGACATCCATTTGCTTAATTAGCAATTTGGATGTCACACTTTTTCACTTACAATATTATCATAATTATTATATTATATTTTTTTAATTATTTATTAAGATATTTCTTAGTCCAGACTTAAACATAATAAAATTAGGCTGGTGATAATATTATATATGTATATATATATATATCTCTCTTGACAAGACAGGAAACCTTGGTGCTGGATAATAGAGCTCATTCTTGTTCTATTTACCTGCTATTACATATATATACATGCATTTTCCTTAAACTTTTACTAGTCTATTTTAGGTAGCTAGGTGTATGAGTTGGGTCTTTACTTTGGTTGAGATTGAGAACTATGGTCTTTGAATCTCGTAATAGTGAAGATGAATTTTTTCGTAACAATAGATTACAAACAGATAAATTTTTAAGATAAAATTTTATTTTATTTTCTAATTTACTGTAGATGCTCTTAATCTAAGGATTATTCATGTTATAATATCACATTTTCATTAAATAATTTCATAAATTTATAGATAATTTGACTTAAAAATAAATAAATCACTCAGAAATGATATGTACAAAATTTAATTAAGAAATTATGTAATTATTAAGACTTCATTTTCCTCTAAGAAAAAAGTATTGGGCCTTTTTCTAATAGAGAGTGTAAAATTTATGCAATATAAACTAATATAAAATTATAAACAAAATTATAAATGGATCTTAATCTATGGTAAAATGATAACTTTTTATTATATAATATGAGTTATTTATTTATAGCAAAGGTGGAGATATACTTTCACTCTTATAAATTGTTTTGTGTCGATCCGCTTTTAAACGATTCTAAGATTGGCTTAGTTCGGTGGAAAGAATTTGTTACAGATAAACTTCTAGTGCTGTCAATAAGTTTGAACCACTGACTTGCAGGATCACACCTATTATCTCCACTCAGGCACTTGCAGTTATTTGTGACGATAGTATTGGTTGAGTCCACATCCAAGCAAATAGACATTCCATTGCTTAGTTTAGAAGAAAGATGCATCTTAGAATCTGATATGGGTTCCCATTTTGAACTAGAATCTGTACAAACATTACTTAATTGTACAGGTTTTTCCAATTCTTCAGCTCTTAAACATAAATGTGTTCCCTTAAGGGAGATAATTTGCTGAGATGTGTAGCTCCAACCTTCAGATTTCGTGCATGGACCCAATATTAGTGGATTATGCAGTGAATTTCTTAAGATACAAAGTCCTGTTGATGGATGAAAAATTATTTTATGTTTATTCTTTTTAGATAGTCCTATTCCTGCAATTTAAAACAAATCAAATTAAAAAATTTAAAATATAAAAAAATTATAAACTCTTTTAATACATAAAAAGAGACCACGTGTATATACCTTGAAAAGGAATTTGGATAGCAGATATTTTATGCAAGAAGCTTGAATTCCTAATATCACGCCAATTCCAGTCAAACAACCCAAAATATTCATTTTCTCCGGTCACCCCTTCTCTTAAATAATAACTTCCAACAAGTGTCCACAATGCCCAATCTAGATCAAGGTCAGCTGCCACACCCAAAAAACAGTTCAAATATCTATTGTCATTCATGTTTGTTCCTCTTTGATCTGCTCCGAATTCACTCACAAACAATGGCCAACCTTGGCCTAATAAGAATTCCGATGTGCTCTTCATATTACTCATTGCTCTCCCACACACTTGATTAGGGTTGCCACTTTCCCATGCACTACCATCTGAGAATGCATACCAATGCCACTCAAATACTAGCTTTCCAGTAAATGTCAGGTTTATTACTCGACTTTGAATAAAAGATAAGTCTCTATCATAGTTTAGACCAGAAAGTATGACAAGAACATTTGGATTTGCTTCATGAACTGACACTGCTCCTGCTATCATGTACCTTCAAGTTCAATCCGTTAAAATTACAAAAAATCATTATCAAATAACGTTATAGAATAGATAAAAGATAAAAGAGAGAGTGATTGAATAACATAGTATCTAATTTTTATTTTCTCCTTTTTTCTAATCAAATGGAAATTTTATTTTTTTATTGATTTAGTTTAATTTTTTAAAAAAAATTCTTAATATAATTACATAATTATTACTAAATGACTTAACATGCTACATGACACTTATATGTCAGGTGATATGGTATCAAATTTAATACCTCTAACTTAATTAGTTAGTTGACATAATTAATTAAATACAATAAAAACATTTGGTACTTAAAAATATCAAAAGAAGAAACAATTAGTTGAATAAAATGGAAAAAAATTGGAGGAGTTTCTAGCATTTGAAATATATATCTTAAACTGTAAAAATAAATAAAATACATTTTACAACATAACAAATTGTATAACTCTCTCCTACTCACAATATCATCATAATTATTTTTTAAAATATTTATTAGTTTAGAAGTAAGCATAACCAAATTAGACTGAGTACCAAAATATAGTTTAGTTTGACGTTATCCCTCCTTTCATGTTTTATTTTTCAAAAAATAATATAATTTAAAATTAATATAATAATATATAAAATTATAATAAAATAATTAAAGATCTTAATTATAATATTAAAATAATATTTTAAAAATATATGTATGTTACATATATATTTTTTTAAATAAATAATAATTAAAATTTTAGAATCAATTTAAAAATAAAGATAAGTTAAAAAAATACAGTGTACCTGTACCAATCATTTACATTCTGTCTAGGACCTCTAAGCTCATTTCTGAGACTCATACCAACTACGGCAGAGACACCATTAAATATGGTAGCAATTCGAGTTAGACCAGTCATCCACACATAAGAATTGAAGTATTGATCCCCAAAGAAACCATTGCCGTCTGTGTTACTGCAACACCAACCGGGCTTGCTTATATGATTGTCTAGAATCACCATCACCTTGTTCGCTCCAAGATTCGACACCACTGCCTGAATTTTATTTTATTTTATTTTTAAATTCAGATAAAAATCTATCATTATTTACAGGTTATAGATATATCATTTAATAGTTTAATGCATATTTCAAATTTTTTTTTCTGGAAAAATTCAAAAGAAGAAGAAATTAATTACCTGATAAGCTTTGATCAGAGGAAGATCAATGATAGATGGATTATTGGCTTGGATGCCAGGAATGGAATCAGACAGACCGAGTTTTTGAAAAGACTGTCTCACAGTTAGAGAGGCTAGAGAGTCGTTGGTGACCAAGAAAGTTGGCCAAGTGAACCGCACGCAATTGAATCCCATCTTCACAATTGTTTTTGAGATCAAATCCATAGGGCTCTTGCTGAGTCCCTCTGCCACCATTGGCTCCAGATGCATCGCCCAATTGACGCATGCCAGCTTCACCCGCTGTCTTTTCTCATCCACAATCCAACGATTATTGGTGGAGAGAGGGACGGCCATGGTTGGCAGAACAGCATTTTGTAGTGTGATGATGATGAGGTGAAGAGAGAGGAACAAGGAAATGAAACTTGTTCTCTCCATTGATTGATTTGTGTGCGGGACTCTCGACGTAACTCTTATATACTTGACCAGGAGGAAGTTAAAATCCTTTAATCAGCTTCATTAACATTAATGGAAAATCTTATTTGACTTTGGATTAGTTTAGTATTTTCATAAATTTATTAACTAAAAATCTAATGCTACATCTGTATGTATTTATTATATTAGATAATTTACCAGAAATATTTATTAAGTTCATTTTTAGGAGATATTACCAACTATAGGTATTAGAACAAATTAGTTAGTATTCAATGTAATAAATTCTAAATATATGATCAATTGTGAAAATAGTCATAAATTAATTTTTTCTTCATAAATACCCCTTTACTTCCCATTAGTGAATAAATTGTCATTTATTATATTTTATGAAATTCGAGTTCTCTCTTTCTGTCTTTCTTAGATATCAAGTACTCTTCTTCTTTCTCATAAATTTCACTAAAATTCTCCTCGTTATTCACTTATTTTTCGTCAAATTTAATTGCAAACTCTTTACAAAAATTGTTAAGGTAACAGTGATTCTAATTTTTATTAAGTTCATTTTTGGAAGATATTACCAACTATAGGTATTAGAACAAATTCGTTGGTTTTCAATGTAATAAATTCTATATATAGGATCAATTGTGAGAATAGTCATAGATTAATTTTTCCTTCATAAATATTCCTTTACTTTCCATTAATGAACAAATTATCATTTATTATATTTTATGAAATCCGAGTTCTCTCTTTCTTCCTCTCTTAGATTAGAGTACTCTTCTTCTTCATCATAAATTTCACTAAAATTCTTCTCATTATTCACTTATTTTTCGTCAAATTTAGTTGCAAACTCTTTACAAAAATTATTAAGGTATCAGTGATTTTAATTTTTTTAGTCAATCGGTTGCTAATATTCAAGAAGAAAATCTTAGATTTTATCTTTCTATCATTTTGTTTTTCGAAATCTCGAAGACTTCATCAAGAAAGTTGTTATGGATACATCAATTAATTTAGACTAGTTAAAGTTAGAAGAAACTCTTCCAAATTTATTCTACTTACATCGTAATGAAAATCTGGTGCTCTAGCTCACATCATTGGTATTTATAGTAACAACTTTCATTATTGGTCAAGATCAATAAAAGTGACTTTAATTTCGAAAAATAAGTTGAAATTTGTGAATAAATTCATTCATGTCTCGAGCACAGATAAATACTCTGTATAGAGCATGAGAGCAACATAACATAATCGTTGTTTCTTGGATTATAAACTCACTATTACTGTCTATATCATAAAATGTAATTTGGATTAGATTACAAAAAAGATTAATAGAAGAATTTGTATGATAGATTTGTACAAAGTGATATCGTCAGAATTTTTTACCTACAAGATGAAATCTATTCGTTGAAATAAAATACACACTCTAACACCAAATACTTAAATGAAAATATTATAGAATGAGTTATTAAATTTGATGCAGTTAAAACAAGTGATATTGATGGTGAATAATCAACATCTAGCTAGTAGACAGTTATGAGGTAAGCACTTTATTTATGGAGATGAGAACGACATATGAAGAATTTGAATAATGTAAAATTGTCACATGTATTTTTTTTCTTGACATAGAGATAAGAAATGGAACTCGAATTTAAATTGTTACCTCTCGTGTGAGAGTTATATGTCATTTAAGCTAAATATTATTACCTTTAAACTAGAAAAATAGAAATAAATCAGGATGAAATAATAAATATTCATATATTAAACAAACAAAAATTACTTAAACTGAAAAAATAGAAATAAATCAAGATGTAATAATAAATATTTATATATTAAACAAATAAAAATTACTTAGTAATAAAGTATTCAAAAATATATCGACAAAATTTTATATGGTATTGATGCGAAGTTAAAAATTCCATAATTTTAAATCAATTATATAATAATTATTAATTAATATAAAAATTAAACTATAAATTAATTGGTTTAAAATTAAATAAAAAATTGAAGGAAATCTTAGAGTTAAATTGAATCTAGTTAGATTATATTTAATCTAATGTCTTCTGAATATAGTTAGATTATGTTTAGTTCGTTTTGCACTCAATTCTTACATTTTACAATGAACTAAAATCATATTTTTTGGGCGAGGCCCAGGCTTATTATAATTCAAAATTTGCTGAGAAGATTGTGAGAGACCGGAGAAGCCAAATGAGCAGCAACTCTGCTAACCTGAATCACCAATCCGATCTCCTTTCAAAGCTTATGCAGATCGAAACCAACTTAAAAGCCAATGGAAACTCTCTTCTCGACAGGTTCTTCAGAGATTTCTGCTTGAGTTTCATCATAGCAGGACGAGATACAACTTCAGTAGCACTCTCATGGTTCTTCTGGTTACTCCATGAAAACCCAGATGTTGAAAGCAAGGTTCTGAGTGAGATGAAAGAAATCCTAAAACAACGCAGAGCTAAAACTGAAATTGCCAACATAGTTTTCACAGAGGAAGAATTAAAACAGATGGTTTATCTTCAAGCAGCATTATCAGAAACCCTAAGGCTGTACGCTTCCGTGCCAAATGAAATGAAACAAATTGTAGAAGATGACATGGTCCCAGACGGGAACATGGTGAAAAAGGGTGCTCGAATTTTCTTCTATGGATGGTCACCCACAACCGTAGGTCAGTTGCCACTGAATAAGAAATTATAATATATATATATATCAACAAGGCAGGACATCTTGGTGCTGGACAATCTTTTAAGATAATATTCTAAAATTAATTTCTTAATCATCGTATCAAGAACTAATTACTAAAAAATTTGGCTATGATTAGTTAGTTGAAGATACACTAATTTTTTGGATTTTATATTTCATGTTCATATTCCATGCATATATATGGAATATGGTTTTATTGTAAATTAATCAAGCCTATAATATTAATTTAAAACGGTTCCTATTTTAATTATTAAATAATAAATCTTTTAAAAATATTTTTCTTGTATATTAATAATTAAAGAATAAAAATTTATTGATTACAATTACTACTTTAAGCTTGAGCTCAACTTAGCAGTTTTTTATTTGAAACAATAATAATAATAATAATAATAATAATAATAATAATAATAATTTTGTATGGATTACGACTAGTTTAATGTTTTTGGGGTTAGGTTAACGATCATAACATTTGGAATACTTTGTGAAATTATTTATAAACATTTTCTAAATTAAGATCAATTAATATTAGATACTATATTACTTGATATAATATCACGTATATAGAGATTGTTAGTGAGCTGGGTCACCTGCTAATTCATTCTAACTATTCCAAATAGAGTAGGTAAAATTTATAATTAACTGAGTACGAGGGAGTGTAAAAGATTATAAATCTAAAATAGTTATAGAGTGGGAGTGATGTAAGTGCCTCATACCGGTACAAAGCCTCTATGCTAGTAATATATATATATATATATATATATGTATATATGTATATATAGACACACACACACACACTCGTATATATAGTACAACAAAAAGCGGTGGCAGAGAGACAAGGAGCTTTGCATGATCTGCATGCCTTATTAATTGATGAAAGTTCGGAGTAGGGCTCATGTGAAAGATACCCTAATCAAAGATATACCTTTGCTATGTTAATTTTATCTTTAATCTATTATACATATATACACAAGTATGCACATAAATAAAACTTCAAAGTGGGTATTTTTAAGAAGTGAATCGTAGACTAGTCTGCAATTTATAAACTATTCTTTTTACTAAAATACTATTACGATAAATGCTTTTTTATAACAAAATTATTTTTATTTTAATATTTTGTTAAACTACACCAATACAAACATTTAACATAATTATAAGACTGCCAATAATTTTAGTACTTACTAGTTTATTAACTGATCAAGAGGTATTTATAATAAATTAAATAAAGAATATTCGTACAGTTACATTTTTAAGTTGAAGAAAACATTTTTTTTGTAAATTATAATTTGAGGACATGTATGTACACTTGTTATGTGGGAGGAACATGCTTACAGATTGGTACATGTTTCGTGGATACATAAAAGCTTCAGTTAATTAGAGACCATGAATAAAGAATTTGCTATTAATAAAACTGAATTAATGAGAAAATGAAAGAGAGATTTCAGTTAAAGGTGACTTTTTCATTTTGCTTTTGGAATTGAATTCATAGTTTGTGGCATGGGTAGGAAGAAGTTAATGCTCTGGATGACGTATGCATACATACATATATCACCATGGACCACGTATATGTATAACATATGTACTATTTCTAAGGAAGAATTTTTTTTTTTTCAAATAAAGCTTAAATTTATGCAATATGAACTAATATATCTTGATGTATGGTAAAATAATATTTTTTTTATTATATAATATGAATTATTCATAACAAAAGTGGAGAAAAACTTCTAGTGCTATCAACAAGTTTAAACCATTGACTTGCAGGATCACACTTGTTATCACTAGTCAAGCACTTACAGTTATTTGTGACAATAGTGTTGGTTGAGTCCACATCCAAGCAAATCGATGTTTCATTGCTTAGTTTCGAAGCAAAATGCATCTTGGAATCTGATATGAGTTCCCATTTTGACTTAGAATCTATACAAACAATACTTAATTCTACAGGTTTTTCTAATTTGTCAGCTCTTAAACAGAAAAGTGTTTCCATAAGAGAGATAATTTGCTGAGATGTATAGCTCCAACCCTCAGATTTAGTACACGGACCCAATATTAGTGGACCGAACAGTGATTTTCTTAAGATACAAAGTCCTGTTGATGGATGAAAAATTATTTTATGTTTATTCTTTTCAGATAATCCTGGTCCTGCAAATCAAAATAAATAAAATCAAGAAACTTAAAATAAAAACAAATTATAAATACTTTTAATGTATAGAAAGAGATCATGTGTATGTACCTTGAAAAGGAATTTGGATGGCGGATATTTTCTGCAAGAAGTTTGAATTCCTAATATCATGCCAATTCCAATCAAGCAACCCAAAATATTCATTTTCTCCAGGTGCCCCTTCTCTTAAATAATAACTTCCAACGAGTGTCCATAATGCCCAATCTAGATCAAGATAAGCTGCCACACCCAGGAAACAATTCAAATACCTGTTGTCATTCACGTTTGTTCCTCTTAGATCTGCCCCGAATTCACTCACAAATAATGGCCAACCTTGGTCTAATAAGAATTCTGATGTGCTCTTCATATTACTCATTACTCTGCCACACACTTGATTTGGGTTGCCATTTTCCCATGCACTACCATCCGAGAATCCATACCAATGCCACTCAAATACTAATTTTTTAGTGAATGTCAAGTTTAGTGCTTGATCTCGAACAAAGGATAAGTCTGTATCATAATTTAGACCAGAAAGTATGACAAGAGCATTTGGATTTACTTTATGCACTGACTCTGCTCCAACTATCATGTACCTTCAAATTCAATCCATTAAAATTATCAAAAATTATTATCAAATGGTAATTAAATAACTTAATATTTAATTTTATTTCATCATTCTTTTTTAATCAAATGGTAATTTTACTTTTTTTTATTGGTTTAATTTTATTTATTTTTTAAATAATTAATATAATTATATTATTAAATGACATAACCACATGATACTTATATGTTAGGTGATATAATATCAAATTTAATATCACTAGCTTAATAGTTATTCGACATAGTTAATTAAATATAGCAAAAATATTAGATGCTTCAGAATATTAAAAGAAAAAAACGATTAGTTGAATAAAAAGGAAAAAAAAAATATAGAAGTGTTTAGCAGTTAAATTATATATTTTAAAATATAGAAATAAATAAAATACATTTTACAACATAATAAATATGTATAACTCTCTTCAACATGCAGTATCATCATAATTACTACATTATATTTTTTAAGATATTTATTAATCCAGAAGGAAACACAACCAAATTAGGCTGGTACTAAAATATAATTTCGTTTGATGGTATTCCACTCTTATATTTTGTTATTTTAAATATAATAATATCTAAAATTATAATAAAATAATTAGGCATCTTAACTATAAAGTTAAAATATTAAAATTAATATTTTTAAAAATATATTTATATTGAACTATAATTCTTTAAATAATTAATAGTCAAAATTTTAGAATCAATTTAAAAATAAAAATTATTTAGAAAAATACAACGTACCTGTACCAATCATTTACGTTCTGTCTGAGACCTCTAAGTTCATTTCTGAGACTCATACCAACAACGGTGGAAACATCATTAAACATTGTGGCGATTCGAGTTAAGCCAATTATCCACACATCGGGGTTAAAGTACTGATCTCCAAAGAAACCATTGCCGTCCGTGTTACTACAACACCAACCCGGCTTGCTTATATGGTTGTCCAGAATCACCATCAACTTGTTATCTCCAAGATTCAATACCAATGTCTGAATTTTTATTTTTTTTATTTTTAAAATTGAGATTAGAATCTAATTATTCATATATCATTTAATAATCCAATTTATATTTTAAAATTTTTGATGTACTTGAAGAAAAGTCAATGGTAAATGTTATTCAAATGCTCTGCTGCGTCACTTAGGGAAAATATATCTTTTTTATTTTATTTTGGTCCTTTTGATCTCATTCTAATCCTAATATTCTTTTTTTCTTTTTTTTTTTTTTTTCTGGAAAATTCAAAAGAATAAGAAATTATTTACCTGAAAAGCTTTTATCAGAGGAAGATCAATGATAGATGGATTATTGGCTTGGATGCCAGCAATAGATTCAAACATACCGAGTTTTTGAAAAGACTGTCTCACAGTTAGAGAGGCTAGAGAGTCGTCGGTGACCAAGAAAGTTGGCCAAGTTAACCGTACACAATTGAATCCCAGCGACACAATTGTTTTTGAGATCAAATCCATGGGCCGCTTACTAAGTCCCTCCGCCACCATTGGCTCCATATGTGCCACCCAATTGACACACGCGAGCTTCACTCGCTGTCCTTTCTCATC